TGCCGTGGGGGTTTGGGTGCGGTTGGGGGTGCCTGAGGTGCTGAGGTGGGGGTCCCTGAGGTGCTGGCATGGGGGGTTCTGGAATATTGGGGGTCCATGAGGTGCTGACTTGGGGGTTTTGGGTGTTGGGGATCCCTGAGGTGCTGAGATGGGGGATTTGGGGGTCCCTGAGGTGCTGATTTGGGGAATTCTGGGGTGTTGAGGGTCCTGGAGGTGCTGATTTAGGGGTCCCTGAGGTGCTGAGATGGGGGATTTTGGGGTATTGGGGTCCCTGAGGTGCTAAGATGGGGTCCCTGAGGTGCTGATTTGGGGAGTTCTGGCGTGCTGGGGGTCCCTGAGGTGCTGAGATGGGGGATTTTGGGGTGTTGGGGGTCCCAGAGATGGTGGCATGGGGGATTTTGGGGTGTTTGGGGTCCATGAGGTGCTAAGATGGGGTCCCTGAGGTGCTGATTTGGGGAGTTCTGGCGTGCTGGGGGTCCCTGAGGTGCTGAGATGGGGGATTTTGGGATATTGCAGGTCCGTGATGTGCTGACATGGGGGGTTTTGGGATATTGGGGGTCCCTGAGGTGCTGATTTGGGGGTTTTGGGGGTCTCTGAAGTGCTGACCTGGGGGTCCCGCAGCTGCTTCCAGGGGGGGTTCTGGGCACCCTGAGGGTTCTGGAAGTACCTCAGGGGTCCCAAAGGTGCTGCCAGGGGTCCCAGAGGTGCTGCTAGGGGGGGTCTTGGGCACCCTGGGGGTCCCAAAGGTGCTGCCAGGGATGTTCTGGGCACCCTGAGGGTCCCAAAGGTGCTGCCAGGGATCCCAGAGGTGCTGCCAGGGATGTTCTGGGCACCCTGAGGGTCCCAAAGGTGCTGCTGGGGGGGGTTCTGGGCACCCTGAGGGTCCCAAAGGTGCTGCCAGGGATCCCAGAGGTGCTGCCAGGGATGTTCTGGGCACCCTGGGGGTCCCAAAGGTGCTGCCAGGGATGTTCTGGGCACCCTGGGGGTCCCAAATTCCGATCTGGGGGGGGTTCTGGGCACCCTGGGGGTCCCACAGCCGCTTCCAGGCGTGTCCTGCTGCCTCCAATCCGAGCCTTGAAGCCCCCCAAGCCCCGAGCTCCCCCCCTGCAGACCCCCCAGGCTGTGTCCCCCCCAGGCCCCCAGGGTGACCCCGCTGTCCCCCAGGTGAGAAGATGACCGAGGAGGAGGTGGAGCAGCTGGTGGCCGGCCACGAGGACAGCAACGGCTGCATCAACTACGAAGGTGAGGCCCGGGGGTCCCGGGGGGATCCGGGGGGGTCCCGGGGGGGGTCACCCACAGCCCCACTCCCTCCCTGACCGTCATGTCTCGTTCCTTCCCCCCAGCCTTTGTGAGACACATCTTGTCAGGGTGACGCCGCAGGGGTAACGCCTCCCCCCGCCCCCTCCTCAAATTACTTCATTTTTTTCTTTTTTTTTTATTTCATTCCTTCTTTTTTTTCTTTTTTTTTTTTTTTCCCTCCCTGTGTTTTTTTTTTTTAAGGAAAAAAAACAAAAAAAAAAAAAAAAAGGCTGCCTGGTGCTGGTGCTGCTCTTGCCCCTCGGTGCAGCCCCCCGCCCCCGCATGCCCCTCTGCATGGAGCCCCCCCTGCGTGCCAGGGCTGGATTTGGGGAGGGGGCTGCAGGGTCCTCCCTGCGCTCTTCAGCCGTTTTCACTTTTGGTTTTTCCTGCCTCTCTCCGGGATTTGGGGTGGGTGGGCCAGCAGACCCCTCCTCATTTTTTTTCCCCCCCTTTTCTCTCCACAGAGCTGGTCCGGATGGTGCTGAGCGGATGAAGACCCCTCCCCATCATTGTGCCCCCCTCCCCTCATTTTCTACCCCCTCCTCACTCGATTTTGTGCCTTTTCCCTCATTTTTCTGTCGCCGCCACCTCCCCAAAGCCCCCCCCGAGCCCCCCCCTCAGCCCCACCGGCTAAATTATTGAATTATTGCTCCACAGCATCAAATAAAGGCTCAGAATGGGCGCTGTGCCCCCCCCGTGTGTGTGCCCCCACTTCCAGACACACCCAGCACCACCAGGCCTCTTCTTCCCGCCCCGGGGACTCGGAATTTTTCTTTTTATTGGTTTTTTAAAAAAAGAAACGAACAGAAAACAACAAAACAAAAACCAAAAAACAAAACAAAACCAAAAAAGGGATGATGATGATGATGAGGAGGAGGAAGAGGAGGAGCTGGGAGGGGAGGGCGAGGGGAGGGGAATGCCCATGTGCCAGGTGGGATCGGAGCAGTCTCATAAATAACCGGGGGGAGCAGCAGCGCGGCCCCCCCGGGAGACCAACACTTAAATAAAATCCGGGATAATCATAAAAAAATACCAAAGCTGGACGAAGAGGAGGAGGAAGGCGGGGAGGGGTGGGGAGGGTCCTTGGAGGAGCCTTGCGGGGCTGCTGCTGCCGCTGCTGCCGCCGGCCAGCGAGCCCGCCAGGCTCTGCGACGGCCCCGGCGGCGGCTGCTGCCCGGGGAACGGCACCGGGGCTGCGGGGAGAGCGCCGTGAGACCCCCGCCCGTGTCCGGGCACCCCTCAGTGCGGGGAGAGCGCCTGTGAGACCCCCGCCCTTATGGGGAAAGGGCACCCTGAGACCCCCTGCCCTTATCTGGGCACCCCTCAGTGTGGGCAGAGCACCGTGAGACCCCCGCCCGTGTCCGGACACCCCTCAGGGCTGGGGGGAGAGGGGACTGTGAGACCCCTGCCCTTGTCCAGGCACCCCTTGGGGCTGGGGAAATGGGGAGAGCACCCCTGAGACCCCCACCCATTCCCCCAGCCCTTGGCAGCAGGGACAGCACCAGTGACAGACCCCAACCCTGAGACCCCGCGACCGTGACACCCCCGCCCTTATGGGGAAAGGGCACCCTGAGACCCCCTGCCCTTATCTGGGCACCCCTCAGTGTGGGCAGAGCACCGTGAGACCCCCGCCCGTGTCCGGACACCCCTCAGGGCTGGGGGGAGAGGGGACTGTGAGACCCCTGCCCTTGTCCAGGCACCCCTTGGGGCTGGGGAAATGGGGAGAGCACCCCTGAGACCCCCACCCATTCCCCCAGCCCTTGGCAGCAGGGACAGCACCAGTGACAGACCCCAACCCTGAGACCCCCTGCAGGTGCTGGAAGTGCTGCTGCCGGGCGCGCATCTCGGCGTACTTCAGCTGCTCCATGTGGAACGCCTGGCGGTCGGCCAGCAGCTGCTGCCGCTGGTATTCCAGCTGGGAGGGATAAACCGAGGAGGGGTCAGCAGGGGGGTGTGAGGGGTGGGGACAGGCAGGTGACACCCTGCGGGCACTCACGGCCTCGCGCTCGCGGTCCATGATGGTCTCCAGCTCCTCGAAGTGCCGCAGTTTGATCTCCAGCTTCTTCATCTGCGTCTCCACCAGCAGCGCCACCAGGGATTTGATCTTGCGCTCCTCCACGGCCGCCAGGTGCTGCCGGGCGAGGACGGCACGGGTGACAAGTGACACCTGGCGTGTCCCTGCCCTGCTGCACGCCCAGCCCCGGGCCCGGGCCTCACCTTGGCCTTGACGGCAGCGGCGGCCAGCGCGGCGGCGGCGGCCGTGGACAGGTTGCCCTCGCCGATGTCCCGCTCCACCTTGGCCTTGCGCTCGGCCTCGGGCTCTGGGGGCTCCTTGGGCGCCTCATCCGGCCCTTCCTTCACCTCCTTCTCCTTCTCGGGCTCTCCTGTGGTTGGTGGGGCTGTGTGAGCAGTGCTGGGGGGCTCAGTGTCCCCCCCCAGCCCCGGCTGTCCCCTCAGGGTCCCTGCTCACCGGTGCTGTCACCGTCACCCTTGTCGGGCTCCTTCTCGCCCTCCGCCTCCTTGCCCTTCTCCTCCTCCTTCTTGGGGGTTTCCCCGGGTTTCTCCTTGGCCTCCTCCTCGGCGGTGCCATCCCGGGGTTCCTGGGGAAGGACCAGCCCCCGTGGGCACCCAAATTCTGCCCCGTTTGTCCCCCCACACCCCCAGACCCCTTTTACCTTCGCCTCCTTCTTCTCCTCGGCCGGCTGCGCCTCCGCCCGCGCCTCCTCGGCCCCGCTCTCCTCTGGGGACACAAACCCGGGCTCAGACCCTGGTGCCACCCCCCTAGACACCCCAGACCCCCTGCCCAGTCCCCTGGCAGCTCAGCCCCCTGTGATATCACCCCCCAGGGCCCCCAGACCCCCTGCCCGGTCCCCTGGCAGCTCAGCCCTCGGTGCCATCCCCCAGTTCCACCCGCCCTGAGCCCCTTCCCAGCCCCCCAGCAGCTCAGACCCCGGTTCCACCCCCCCAGACCCTCTGCCCAGACCCCTGGCGGCTCAGCCCTTGGTTTTATCCCCCCCCCAGACCCTCTTCCCCAGCCCGGCACCCCCAAGCCCCAAGACCCCCATTCCCGGCGCCCCCAGCCCCCAGCCCGGCCCCCGCCCCTCTGACCGATGCGCTCGGGCTCGTCCGAGGCGGTGCCGGCGATGCCGCTGCTCTCCAGCCCGAAGGCGGGGTCGGCCTTGCCCGTCACCTTGGCCGCCTCCTCCACCTTGCGCACGTGGGCCTCCACCAGCGCCGTGGGCACCTCCTCCTTCATCTTGGAGAACTCCTCTGCGGGCGGGATTCCTCAGTGGGACCCCCAGGGGGACCCCCAGGGCCAAGCCCGAGACCCCCAGCCCCGCACGTCCCGTGGGGGGCTCGGCCCGGCCCCTCTGGGCTGGAATGGCCATGGAATGTTCTGGAGGGTCCTTCCCACCCTCTGGGAGTTGTTGTGTGTCCCCAGAGGAATCTCCACGGGATTTGGGGGTCTCCCCGTGTTCCTCATCCCTCTCCCCGTCAGGCTCACCCCTGTAGGACATCCTGAAGGGCTCAGCCCTTCTCCCTGTCACAGCCTCCCCATTACCCTGTAGGGCTCATCATCCCTCACCCCAAATTCCTCATCCCATCTCCTACAGGATGATCCCATTACCCTGTAGGGCATCCTGTAGGGCTCAGCCCTTCTCCCTATCCCATTCCCCTATAGGAACCCCTATAGGGCTCATCCCCCCTCACCCCAAATTCCTCACACCATCTCCTACAGGATGATCTCATTACCCTGTAGGGCATCCTGTAGGGCTCAGCCCTTCTCGCTGTCCCATTCCCCTATAGGAACCCCTATAAGGCTCATCCCTCACCCCATATTCATCATCCCATAGGACTCACCCCACCCCTCCACAGTCCCTGTGCCCTCTCCATGTAGGACTCACCCTCTCCCCACATCCCCACATCCCTGTCCCCTCTCCCTATAGGATTCATTCCTCTTCCTATAGAACTCACCCTCTCCCCACATCCCTGTCCCCTCTCCCACATCCCCACAGTCCCTGACCCCTCTCCCTCATCCCCACATCCCTGTACCCCTCTCCCCACAGTCCCTGACCCCTCTCCCCACATCCCTGTACCCCTCTCCCCCCTCCCCACAGTCCCTGACCCCTCTCCCCACATCCCTGTACCCCTCTCCCCCCTCCCCACAGTCCCTCCTCTCCATGTAGGACGCACCCTCTCCCCACATCCCTGAGCCCTCTCCCCACACTCCCCATCCCCTTTCCCAACATCCCCACATCCCTGTCCCCTCTCCAACATCCCTGTCCCCTCTCCCTGCAGGACTCAGCCTCTCCCCACATCCCTGTCCCCACTCCCCACATCCCTGTACCCCTCTCCCCCATCCCCTCAATCCCTGACCCCTCTCCCCCATCCCCTCAATCCCTGACCCCTCTCCCCACATCCCTGTCCCCTCTCCCCACATCCCTGACCCCTCTCCCCACGTCCCTGTACCCCTCTCCCCCCCCACCCTGCCCTACCCAGAGCCGACTTGGCGGCGGCCGAGGCCACGCGCGGGTCCACCACGGAGGCCAGGAAGGCCACGGTGCTCATGACGGGGTTGCCCGACTGGCTGAAGGGGATGGGCTGGTAGGCCAGGGGCCCCAGCGAGGCCTCCGAGTCCTCCAGGTAGGGATCCTCAATGGGCAGGCGCAGGAAGTGCAGGATGCACTCGTCCTGCGTGCGGCTGCCCACGTGCTCCGACACCTTGTTCCAGTCGTCCTTGTACATCTCCAGGGCCTGCGGGGCGGGTCACAGGTCAGGCAGCCCTGGCCCCACATCCCCTGGCCCCATATCCCCTGGCCCCATTTCCTTGTCCCCATATCCCCTGTCCCCACATCCCCATTTCCTTGTCCCCATGCCCCCTGTCCTCACATTTCCTTGGGTCCCCACATGCCCTGTCCCCAATTCCTTGTCCCCACATCCCCTGTCCCTATTTCCCTGTCCCATCCACTCTCCCCATATCCCCTTGGGTCCCCACATCCCCTTTTGTCCCCACATCCCCTGTCTCCATTTCCCTGTCCCCACACCCCCATTTCCTTGTCCCCATGCCTCCTGTCCCCACATCCCCTTGGATCCCCACATCCCCTCCTGTCCCCACATCCCCTGTCCCCATTTCCCTGTCCCCACATCCCCTGTTCCCATACCCCCTGTTCCCAAATCCTCTATCCCCACACCTCCTGTTCCCATATCCTGTCCCCATTTCCCTGTCCCCACACCCCCTGCTATCCCCACATCCCCTGCTGTCCCCACACTCCCTCATGTCCCCACATCCCCTATCCCCACATCTCCTTGGGTCCCCATGTCCCCTGTCCCCTGCTGTCCCCACACCCCCTGCTGTCCCCTGTCCCCTGCTGTCCCCTGCTGTCCCCTCACCTCCAGCAGCAGCAGCGTCTCCTGCTCCGTCCACTCCCGCGTGGCGCTGGCGGCCGCTTTGCTCTGCGGGGAGGGGGGACATGGGGGGTGAGGGGGAAGGCCACGGTGCTCATGACGGGGTTGCCCGACTGGCTGAAGGGGATGGGCTGGTAGGCCAGGGGCCCCAGCGAGGCCTCCGAGTCCTCCAGGTAGGGATCCTCGATGGGCAGGCGCAGGAAGTGCAGGATGCACTCGTCCTGCGTGCGGCTGCCCACGTGCTCCGACACCTTGTTCCAGTCGTCCTTGTACATCTCCAGGGCCTGCGGGGCGGGTCACAGGTCAGGCAGCCCTGGCCCCACATCCCCTGGCCCCATATCCCCTGGCCCCATTTCCTTGTCCCCATATCCCCTGTCCCCACATCCCCATTTCCTTGTCCCCATGCCCCCTGTCCTCACATTTCCTTGGGTCCCCACATGCCCTGTCCCCAATTCCTTGTCCCCACATCCCCTGTCCCTATTTCCCTGTCCCATCCACTCTCCCCATATCCCCTTGGGTCCCCACATCCCCTTTTGTCCCCACATCCCCTGTCTCCATTTCCCTGTCCCCACACCCCCATTTCCTTGTCCCCATGCCTCCTGTCCCCACATCCCCTTGGATCCCCACATCCCCTCCTGTCCCCACATCCCCTGTCCCCATTTCCCTGTCCCCACATCCCCTGTTCCCATACCCCCTGTTCCCAAATCCTCTATCCCCACACCTCCTGTTCCCATATCCTGTCCCCATTTCCCTGTCCCCACACCCCCTGCTATCCCCACATCCCCTGCTGTCCCCACACTCCCTCATGTCCCCACATCCCCTATCCCGGGGCGGGGCCCGGGGGGTGCCCACCTTGGAGGGGACGTTCTTCTTGGTGTACATGTCGGTGCGGAGCCCGAAGTTCTGCATGTCCGCCGGCTTCTCCTTGCCCTTGTCCGGGAAGTTCAGCATCTGCTGCGAGGCCGAGCTGGGCTGCTGCAGGGGGGGACAGGGGACACGCTGGGCCGGGCCCGCGGGGTGGGACATCGCCGTGTCCCCTCCTCCCTGTGATCCCAGAGCATCATCACGGTGTCCCCATCATCACGGTGTCCCCATCACGGTGTCCCCATCACGGTGTCCCCATCACGGTGTCCCCCCCGCGTCCCTGCTCCCCCGGGGCAGGGCGGCATGCGAGGGGGAGGAGGGAAGGAGCCTTCCTCGGCCAGCGGCGCGGGGCACGGACCCCAAGGAGCCGCCTACCAGCTCCGGCTTGCCCTTCACCGTCTCGCTGACCAGCTCCTCCATCTCTTTGCTCTTGCGGCCCGTCTTGGCGTCGCCGTCGCTCTGCCGGCCCTGAGGCACGGATCGAAGCTGTGCATCCCCCACCCCCCGCCCCACCCCGCGCCCGGCCCCCGCGGGGACCGGGGGGCGGCAGGGGGGGGTCGCGGCTGGGCGCCCCCGGCACCCACCTGGGGCGTCTTGGGCTGCAGCGGCACCAGCCCCGAGGGCGTGTCGGCCAGCACGTGGAAGTGCGAGGTGGGCGGGGGGCCCATGGGGGTGGGCCGGCTCTCGGCGTCCACCTGGTAGTTGATGAGACCCCACTGCTCCAGGAAGGCGTGGACCCTGCGGGGAGAGGGGGTCAGAGCCCGCCGGAGCGGCACGGGCAGCGTGGTGTGACACTGAGCACCCCCTGTGCCACTGGTATTGGACAGCCATCAGTGCCAGGGTGACACTGATCGCCCCTGTGCCATGGCACGGGCAGTGTGGTGTGACACTGAGCACCCCCTGTGCCACTGGCACTGGGGTCAGAGCCTGCCAGACCAGTGGGGTGTGACACTGAGCACCCCTGTGCCACTGGTATTGGACAGCCATCAGTGCCAGGGTGACGCTGATCGCCCCTGTGCCATGGCACAGGCAGTGTGGTGTGACACTGAGCACCCCTGTGCCACGGGACTGGACAGCCACCAGTGCCAGGGTGACAATGAGCACCCCTGTGCCACAGGACTGGGCAACCATCAGTGCCAGGGTGACAATGACCACCCCTGTGACATGGCACTGGACCCCTACCAGTGCTAGGGTGACACTGACCACTCCCCTGTCCCAGTGCCAGGGTGACACTGACCACCCCATGACCACTGGAATTGGACAGCCACCAGTGCCAGGGTGACACTGACCACGCCATGACCACTGGAATTGGACACCCATGAGTGCCAGGGTGACACTGACCACCCCTGTGCCACTGGAATTGGACAGCCACCAGTGGCAGGGTGCCACCCCTGTGGTGTGGACCCCGCAACAGCATTGGCTCTAGACTCCTGCCACCCCATCATGGTGCCAAAGTCATCCCCCTGCCAGCCCTGGGGTGCCACACTGACCACTCAGCACTGTGACAAGCTGACCCCTGGCACCACCAGGGCACCACACTGACCCCTGGCAGCACCAGGGTGCCACACTGACCCTCAGCCCCACCAGCACCAGCCCCTGTCAGGATTGGGGTGCCAATCCAACCCCCAAACACAATGAGCACCAGACCCCTGGCACCACCAGGGTGCCACACTGACCCTCCACAAGCACCAGCCCCCTGTCAGGACTGGGGTGCCAATCCAACCCCCAAACACCAGGATCACAGGGCCCCTGGCAGCACCAGGGTGCCACACTGACCCTCAGCCCCACCAGCACCAGCCCCTGTCAGGATTGGGGTGCCAATCCAACCCCCCAGGAGCACCAGACCCCTGCCAGCCCACAGGTGCCAATCCAACCCCCAAACACCAGGATCACGGGCTGCCTGGCAGCACCAGGGTGCCAATCCAACCCCCAAACACCAGGATCACGGGCTGCCTGGCAGCACCAGGGTGCCAATCCAACCCCCAAACACCAGGATCGCGGGGCCCCTGCCAGCCCACAGGTGCCAATCCAACCCCCAAACACCAGGATCACGGGCTCCCTGCCAGCACACAGGTGCCACCCCAGCCCCGTGCCAGACCCACCGCATGATGGCACAGACGTCCCCGGCCAGGTTGCGCCGGCAGGCTGTGGAGGTCAGGTACTCCTGCGGGTTCAGCCGGTACGTGTCGATCATGAAGTTCCGGTATGCCAGGTATCTGTGGGGGGCACGGGGGGCTCAGCGCCGGGCATGGCCCCGGGGGGCTGCGGGCAGGCACGGACAGGGGGTTTGGCCTCACATTTCGGGGGTCTTGGATTTGTTTTTGCCGTTGAAGAACTCGGGCAGGGCGCGGCGCTCGATGGCGTGGACGCTGCGGGAGGAGAGGCTCGGGGAGGGCTCTGGGAGCAGCCTCCTCATCCTCAGGGGATGAAGGGCAGCTCGGGAGCCCCCCGGCTGTACCTGTTGTAGTCGAACCAGGCGGCGTAGCTGGGGATGATGATGTGGTGGGTCTGCTCTGTCACGTTGTCCTCGTGCAGGTCAGGGTTCTTGGCCTGCTCCCCTTTGCTGCCGGTGCCGTTCTCCTCCTCGTCCTGCCCCACACAGCAGCACCCCATGGGCAAAGAGACCCCCTTCAGCGCCCTTCATCATCCTCACCCACAGCAGGATGAGACCAAGGGCCCCGGCTGCAGCCTCAGGGGTGAGGGGAAGGGCAGAAAAGCGCGTTTTTGTACCCAAAAGTGGGACAAGGAATGAGAGAGAACCAGGTGATCATCAAGAACACCTTCCCTGGGCTCACCTTGCCAGCCGTCTCCATGCTCTCATCTTCCTGCTCATCTGGAAGGGAGGACAGGGGTGGGTTTGGGCACTGCCAGGCCGGGGGTCCCGGGGCTCTGCTGTGGCTCCTCAGACTCACCCAGGTCTGTCATGGTGCCCCCCTTGACGGGCGCCGACTCCGAGTCCTTCTTGGTGTTCACTGCGGGGGCAAAGTGGTGCTGAGCACCCCGAGGACCCCTCCCACACTGTGGGGACCCCAGAGGGTGGCTGCTGCCCCCCACACTGACCTGTTTTGGGCAGGGTCACCTCCTCCACGTTGGGGACGGGCGAGGGCTCGTCCATGTCCTTGGTCAGGTCCTCCTGCTCCTCCTCGCGGTGCCCGCGCTTGGATTTGTTATAGGGGGTGGAGGGTCTGCCAAGGGAGAGAACCCCCATCACTACTGACCCCAGGGCTGAACTGCCCCACCCCCAGAGCCCCCAAACCCCCCAGCTCACCCCTTCTTCGCATTCTTCTTCTTGGCCTCAGGGGTGGGCGAGGGCGAGGGCGAGCGCTTCCTCTTCTTGTAGTTACCCCCCTTCTTGTCCCGCCGGTCCGAGTCGGGGCTGTTCACCTGGGGGGCAGCACGGGGGTCCAGCTGAGCAGGGTGAGACCCCCAGGACCCCTCCCCGAGGGGCTCTGAGCTGGCTCTGACCTCGTCTGTCAGTGTCTTGGCCGAGATCTTCTTCCTGCGGGTGACGGGGCTCTTCTCGTCCGTCACCTCGTAATCCTCCTCGTTCATCCACTCGTTGAAGGTGTCCGTGTCCAGGATCCACTTGGCGTGGACCTGCCGGGCAGGAGAGTGGCTGGGTCAGGCCAAGGAGGGGGGCTCCAGGTGCCCCCCAAACCCGGGGGTCTCCCCTGTACCTTCCGGGGCTTCTCCGGTGTCGGGGGATCCTCCACGGACGCCTCGATCTCGCTGGCCGGGATCCAGGTGTCATAGCTGGGGGGGGATAGGGTTAGAGTGGCACCCACAGGGATTTGGGGGGACAGAGGGGGTCCCCGAAATCTTCATCCCCCTCTCACCTGTCGGGGTAGTACCCCCAGTGCAGCAGCACCTGCTTGTCACGCTTCATGACGGGCCGGACCCACTCCTCTGCAGGACACACGGACAGGCTGGGCTGGGCACGGATCCTCGGGATCCTGCAGCCCTCTGTGCCCCCCAAAACCCCCCTCCTGCACCCCCCGGAGCCCCCTCAAACTCCCCCACCCCCAGGGATCCCCCAAAACCCCCTCCTGCACCCACCTTCCTCTGGATCTTCCAGCCCCCCATGGCCCCCCAAAAAGCCCCTCCTGCACCCACCTTCCTCTGCCCCTCCTGGAGCCCCCCATAACTCCCCAGAGCCCCCTGTGACCCCCCCAGACTCCCCCCCTGCACCCACCTTCCTCTGCCCCCCTGGAGCCCCCTGAGACCCCCCAAAAAGCCCCTCCTGCCCCCACCTTCCTCCAGGTTCCCGGGCACGGGGCAGACGATGTGGGACGCGTTGCTCTTGTCCTCGGTCACGGTGCCCTGTGACAGCCAGGGCATGAACCCAGGGTTAAATACCGGGATGAGCCCCCCGCTGTGCCCCCCACCCTGGCACTGCCACCCACCTGGTGCCTCTTGACGATGTCCTTGAGCTTCCCCAGCAGTTTGGGCTCGATCTCCTGGTGCAGGAAGATGTTGGGCCGAGCCAGGCAGTTGTTCTGAGGAGAAAGAGAAGGAGAAGAGCAGAGCTGTGAATTGAGGAGGGGGGAAACACGGTGGGGAGGGGGTCCCGGGGTGGGGGCTGTGGGCTCTTACCTGCACCAGGGATTTCTCGATGGTCATGAACATCTCCACATTGCGGTCCATGCGCGAGGGATTCTGGAAATCGAAACGCCGCCTTATTGGAAGAAAAGAGCGACTCTCATGAAAGCCACAGCTCAGGTCTCCTCGTCAGCACCCCGAATTTGGGGAGGGGGGCGAGTGGGACACGTGTCTGGACCCCATCAGGGTGCACAGTGACAGAGGGGGGACACGTCCCAGCGCCTGTTTGCTCTGGGGGTGACAGCCCCACAACCGCCCCACCCCGGGCACCCCCACCCGAGGCCACCCCTGGAGGGGACCCCCACCCCTGCCCGCCCCGGGGACCCCCCCAGGACCCCCAGCCCGAGGGGTGCAGGTGGGTGCTCACCATCCTTGGTCGCTCTTGAATTTATAGGCGGCTGCCAGGATGTGGCACAGGGCTCCCCCCGCCTTGAAATCCAGGAAGCATTTGATCTGCAACGGGAGAGGGGTCAGGGGGACAGGGACAGGGCCCTGCTGGGGGACATCTCCTCCTCGGGGGGACGTCCCCTTGTTGGGGTGACATGCCCATCTCTGAGTGACATCCCCTTCTCTGGGTGATGTCCCCTTGTTAGGCAGCCATCTCCTTTTTGGGGTGCCATCCCCATGTTTAGGTGACATCCCCATGTCTGGATGACATCCCCATGTTTAGGTGACATCCCCATGTCTGGATGACATCCCCATGTTTAGGTGACATCCCCTTCTCTGGGTGATGTCCCCTTGTTAGGCAGCCATCTCCTTTTTGGGGTGCCATCCCCATGTTTAGGTGACATCCCCATGTTTAGGTGACATCCCCATGTCTGGATGACATCCCCATGTTTAGGTGACATCCCCATGCCTAAGTGCCATCCCCTTGCCAGGGTGCCATCCCCTTGCCAGGGTGCCATCCCCTTGTTGGTGTGCCATCTCCATATTTCCTTGACATCCTATTTTCTGGGTGACTTCCCCATGTCTGGGTGACATCCCCTTGCTGGGGTGCCATCCCCATGTTTAGGCGACATCCCCATCTCTGAGTGACATCCCCACGTGTGGGTGTCACCCTCTCACAGGGTGCCATCCCCTCCCTAGGGTGACATCCCCTTGTCCAGTTGTCCCATCCCTATCTGTGGGTGACATCCCCATCTGTGGGTGACATCCCCATCTCAGGGTGCCACCCCCTTGTCAAGGTGACATTTCCTTGTCAGGGTGACGTCCCCTCATTGGGGTGCCATCCCCTTTTTTGGGTCCCATCCCCTCTCCCAGGTGCCACCTCCTTGGGACTCTGTCCCCAAGCTGGGATGGGGTCCCTGCAGTGTTGTAGCACTGTCCCCAGTTGGGGACCTGTCCCTGTGTGGGGACACTGTCCCCAGGTCCTTGGGGGCTGTCCTGGGGACCCTGGGGCAGTGTCCCCTTGGCATTCTGTCCCTGCTGTGCTCTGTCCCTGTGTGGGGACACTGTCCCCAGGTCCTTTGGGGTTGTCCTGGGGTCTTTGGGACAGTGTCCCCTGGCTGAGGCCCTGTCCCAGATTTGGGGTGTCCCCTTTTGGGACACTGCTCCTGGCAGGGCGCTGTCCCTGCCGTGCTCTGTCCCTGTGTGGGGACATTGTCCCCTGGTCCTTGGGGACAGTTCCCAGCAGGATGGTGTCCCAGGGTCCCTGTCACTGTCCCAGGCCATGTCCCTGACCAGGGCACTGTCACTGGCTGCTGTCCATGGTCAGCTGCTGTCCCCGAGCCACCCAACTGCTAAATGGTGTCACCAGGGCCACATCCCTGAGGCTCTGGGCGCTGTCCCTGCTCAGGGTCGTGTCCCCAATTCACTGGGGCTGTCCCCAGGTCTTTGGGGACATTAGGGACATGTCCCCAGGGCTGTCCCCCTGTCTCTGGGGCACTGTCCCTGCTCAGGACCCTGTCCCTGGTCATCGCTGTCCTTGTCCCCTTTGCACTGGGGCTCTGCCCCACGGTTTTGGGGTGCTGGTCCTGCATTTTTGGGAAGCTGTCCCCATTCAGGCCTTGTCCCCACCTCACTGGGACCTTGTCCCTGGGTGCTGTCCCCAAGTTCTGGGGTTCCGTTCCTGAGTGCTCACATGCTGTCCCTGGCTATTGGGGTGCTGTCCCCACTCAGGGCACTGTCCCCTGTTCTTTGGGGCCTTTTTTGGGGGCTCTGGGGCCTCGTTCCCACTGAGCTTTGTCCCCAGGTTTTTGGGGTGCTGCCCGTGGGTCACTGGGGCCTTGTCCCAGGGTCATCAGGGCCATGTCCCCAAATCCCTGGGGCTCTGTCCCTGGGCACTGGGGTGCTGTCCCCAGGTCTTTGAGCTCTGTCCCTGCTCAGGGTCCTGTCCCCAGCCAGCAGGGCCCTGTCCCCAGGTCTTTAGGCTCTGTCCCTGGGCATTGAGGGGACATCCTGAGTACTGGGACGCCTTCCCTGGATATCGGGGTGCTGTCCCTAATCTGGGCTTTGTCCTCTCTTCTTTGGGGCTCCTCCCTGGATCTCCAGGACCCCATCCCAGGGCCATCCCCACACCTCTGGGACACCATCCCTGCTCTGAGCCCACCAGGGCCATGTCCCCAGCCCTGTGAGCTGCTGTCCCCACGTCTTTGGGGTGCTCTCCTCAATCTGGGCTTTGTCCCCCATTCTTCCAGGCTCTTCCTCAGCAATCCCAGGGCCACGAGGGACACCTTTGGGACACTGTCCCCGCTCAGAGCCTTGTCCCTGCTCATCAGGGCCATTGTCCCCAGCCCTGTGAGCTGCTGTCCCCACGTCTTTGGGGTGCTCTCCTCAATCTGGGCTTTGTCCCCCATTCTTCCAGGCTCTTCCCCACCTCACCCAGAACCACGAGGGACAATCCCTGCACCTCTGGGGCACTGTCCCCGCTCAGAGCCTTGTCCCCGTGTCCCCCACACGCCCCGAGGGGTCCCGCCCGCGGTGTCCCCGCGTCCCCCGGTGTCCCCCCGCGGCTCTCACCGGCAGCTTGGTGAGGGGCGCGTTGCTGACGTGCTTGCCGAACACCTCCTCCTGGAACTGCAGCAGCTGCACCACCAGGCTCGACAGCGACTTGTTGGTGGGGGGCTCGGCCTGGATGTACTGCGGGGCCGGGGGCTCAGCGCGGCCGCCGGGGCCGCTGAGGGGAGGGGGGGGCGCGATGGCGGCGGCGACGGCGCCGTGACAGGCCGGGCCCGGCGGGGCGGGCGGCGGCGGCCGCGCGGGCTCCGCGGACCTACCTTCTTGTAGTTCTTGCCGAGCCAGAGCCGCACGTTGTCGAACTGGCTGACGGTGTCCGAGGCCTCGTAGTACTTGACGTTGGGGCCGCCGTCCTTCTTCCGCACCGCCATCTTGAGCGGCCCTGCCGGCCCCGCGCCGCCACCGCCGCCGCTCGTGTCCCCGCTCCCGCCGTCCCCCTCCCGCTGTCCCCGCTCCCGCTGGCTGTTCCCGATCCCGGTGTCCCCGCTCCCGCTGGCTGTCCCCGCTCCCGGTGGCCGTCACCGGCCCCGGCCGCTTTTACGGCCCCGCCGCCCCCTTTGGTGCGCTCCCGTTCCCGCACCGCCGCTCCCGCCGCCCCCGCTGCCGCCCCCTGGCGGTGCCGCTCCCGCGCCGCCGCCTGCGCCGCTCCCGCCCCGGTGTCGCCGGTGCCGGTCGATGTTCCCGCTCCCGCCCGGTGTTACCGGGGCCGGTCGATGTTCCCGCTCCCGCCCCGGTGTTACCGGGGCCGGTCAGTGTTCCCGCTCCCGCCCCGGTGTTACCGGTGCCGGTCAGTGTTCCCGCTCCCGCCCCGGTGTCGCCGGTGCCGGTCGATGTTCCCGCTCCCGCACCGCCACCCCCGATCGTTGTTCACGACCCCGATCGTTGTTCACGACCCCGATCGCTGCTCCCGGCCCCGCCGCCCCCGTTGTACCGCCCGCCGCGCCCGCCACCGCCTCCTGCCGGTCCCGTTCCCGCCGTTCCCGCTGTGCCCCGGGCGCCGTTCCCGGCCCCGAGCCCCGTTCCGGGCCCCGAGCTCCCGCTCCACCGCCCGTTGTGGGTCCCGCTGCCCCCGGGCGCCGTTCCCGGCCCCGCCGCCCGCAAGCGCGACAAGAGAGAAATGGGTTCAAATCGCAGGAGATTGGGTCTAGACGGGGTATTGGGAGGGAATTCCTCCTGGAGAAGGTGAGGAATGGCTTCCCCAGAGCTGCCCCATCCCTGGAGGTGTTGCAGGCCGGGCTGGACGGGGCTTGGAGCAGCCTGGAACGGGGGAAGGCGGGGGTGGAAAGGGATGAGCCCCGGAGGGAGCGCCGGAACGGCACCGGGCACCGAGCACCGGGCACTGAGCACCAAACCGGGCACCGAGCACTGGGCACCGGGCCTTGAGCACCAAACTGGGCATTGAGCACCGCGCACCGGGCACCGGATAACGAGCACCGGGCACCGAGCACCAGGCACTGAGCACCAGGCCGAGCACCGAGCACCGGGCCCCGGATCTTGAGCACCAAGCCGTGCACCGTGCATTTTGCACCAAACCGGGCACCGAGCACCAGGCACTGAGCACCAGGCCGAGCACCGAGCACCGGGCCCCGGATCTTGAGCACCAAGCCGTGCACCGTGCATTTTGCACCAAACCGGGCACCGAGCACCGGGCCCCGGGCCTTGAGCACCGGGCCTTGAGCACCACGCCGTGCCCGGTGTCCGGTGCATTTTGCACCAAACCGGGCACCGGGCACCGGGCACCGGGCGGGGCGGGGCCGGGAGCGGCGGCGGGGCCGGGTCTATGCAGAGCGCGGCGGACGGAGGCGCGAGAGTCACGGTGGCCGAGTGGTTAAGGCGTTGGACTCGAAATCCAATGGGGTTTCCCCGCACAGGTTCGAATCCTGTCCGTGACGCGACGCTCGCTTTTTGCTGCTGGGGGACACGCGTGAGCTCCTCCGTTAACGGCGAGCACACCGGGTACCGGCTCTTTTAATGGCGGGAGCACCATAGATTCCCCAAGGTACGGTAGCGGCTCTTTTAAGGGCGCGAACACCGGGGATGACTCACACTCAGCCTCCGGTAACGGTTGTTTTAACCGCGGGAGCATCACGGAGCTTCCCGCCCGCTGGTACCGGCTCCTTTAAGGGCGGGAACACCGGGGAACACACACCCGCAGCCTCCGGTACCGACTCTTTTAAGGGCGGGAACACACACCCGCAGCCTCCGGTACCGGCTGCTTTAACGGCGGAGACATCGGGGATGACACACCCTCCGCCTCCGGTACCGGTTCCTTTAACGGCAGGAGGATCGGAGAGTCCCCAAGCTCCGGTACCGGCTCTTTAAGGGGTGGGAACAACGGGGAATCCCCTAAAATCCCGGCTCCTTTAGGGGTGGGAGCAGTCGGGACCCCCCAAAACCCGGTACCGACTCTTTTAGGGGTGGGAACAATGGGGCACCCCCTCTAATCCCGGCTCTTTTTGGGGTGGGAGCAGCAGGGACCCCCCCCAAGTTCCAGTCCCAGCTCATTTTGGGGTGGGAACAATGGGGCACGCCCTCTAATCCCGGCTCTTTTTGGGGTGGGAGCAGCAGGGACCCCCTCTCCCCAGTCCCAGCCCCAATCCCAGCTCTTTTTGGGGTGGGACCACTGGGGACCCCCCTCTATTCTCTGACCTTTTTTAAGGGCAGAAGTGGGGACCCCACTCTGGACCCAGCTCTTTTTGGGGTGGGAGCAGCAGGGACCCCCTCTCCCCCGTCCCAGCCCCAATCCCAGCTCTTTTTGGGGTGGGAGCAGCAGGGACCCCCTCTCCCCCGTCCCAGCCCCAATCCCAGCTCTTTTTGGGGTGGGAGCAGCAGGGACCCCCTCTCCCCCGTCCCAGCCCCAATCCCAGCTCTTTTTGGGGTGGGAGCAGCAGGGACCCCCTCTCCCCCGTCCCAGCCCCAATCCCAGCTCTTTTTGGGGTGGGAGCAGCAGGGACCCCCTCTCCCCCGTCCCAGCCCCAATCCCAGCTCTTTTTGGGGTGGGAGCAGCAGGGACCCCCTCTCCCCCGTCCCAGCCCCAATCCCAGCTCTTTTTGGGGTGGGAGCAGTCAGGACCCCCCTCTATTCTCTGACCTTTTTTAAGGGCAGAAGTGGGGACCCCACTCTGGTCCCAGCTCTTTTAGGGGGGGGGACCCCCCATTCCCAGCTCCTTTTGGGGTGGGAGCAGTCAGGACCCCCCTCTATTCTCTGACCTTTTTTAAGGGCAGAAGTGGGGACCCCACTCTGGTCCCAGCTCTTTTAGGGGTGGGGACCCCCCATTCCCAGCTCCTTTTGGGGTGGGGACCCCCCAGTCCCAGTCCCAGCTCTTTTAGGGGTGGGGACCCCCCAGTTCCATTCCCACCTCTTTTTGGGGTGGGGACCCCCCATTCCCAGCTCCTTTTGGGGTGGGAGCAGTCGGAACCCCCCTCTATTCTCTGCCCTTTTTTAAGGGCAGAAGTGGGGACCCCTCTCTGGCCCCAGCTCTTTTTGGGGTGGGAGCAGTCGGAACCCCCCTCTATTCTCTGCCCTTTTTTAAGGGCAGAAGTGGGGACCCCTCTCTGGCCCCAGCTCTTTTTGGGGTGGGAGCAGTCGGAACCCCCCTCTATTCTCTGCCCTTTTTTAAGGGCAGAAGTGGGGACCCCACTCTGGACCCAGCTCTTTTTGGGGTGGGGACCCCCAAGTTCCATTCCCAGCTCTTTTTGGGGTGGGGACCCCCCAGTCCCAGCTCTTTTTGGGGTGGGAGCAGTCGGGACCCCCCTCTATTCTCTTTTTTAAGGGCAGAAGTGGGGACCCCACTCTGGTCCCTGCTCTTTTAGGGGTGGGAACAAGGGGGACAGCTTCATCCTTTTTGGGGAGCACATCTGGGGGGCTTTGGGGCAGGGGAAACCCCCCAGGACCCTCGGCCACCCCCATTCCCTCCCAGGAGTGACATTTATTGATCCCCCCAACATGGGGAGAACAGCCCCAAACCCACCCATTTTTACCCCAAGACTGAGCCCCCCGACACGGGGAGGGTTTTGGGGTGCAGGAGGAGACCCCCAAAAAGGGGATAAAGCAACCAGAATTCTGTTTATTGATCACTTCAATCCTGCCTCCCGCCGGATCTGCCGGGACCGACACCGGAGGAGAAACAATGGTAAAAAAAAAAAAATCAAAATAAATGCAAATAAATTAAATTCCCAACGAGTCCCACAGCCTCAGGCCAGAGGGGCCTGCCCAGGGTACTTGGAAAATCAAATAAAAAGGGGGAGTAAAAATAAGAAAAAGTCAAAAAAAAAAACAGAACCACAATCACGAGTGTCTGGAAAAATAACACCAAGGGTGGAGAAAGCAGAGCCAAAAATGGACTGGGAGGAGGTGGGAGATGATCCCAGGGAATGGGGCATGCACGAAGTGAGGGGCACAGGAGGGTCCCCAAGGCCAAGGACCCCTCACAGGAGGGTCCCCAAGGCCAAGGACCCCTCACTCCAGGCTTGGGGACACCAGGCCAGGTGGAAATTGCAGAGGATGGAGCTTGCTGGGCAGCAGGGCTGGGATTTGGGGGACCCCCGAGGGGTCTGGCAGTGCCTGGAGCCCCCACTCCTCCTCTCCTTGAAATGGCCGAGCTGGGTTCCTCACGGGTCCAATCAAGGGGGAACCCCAAAAATCTGAGTCCAAGAAGCCCCCAGTGTCCTGAGGTGGATTTTTTCCACAACTCCAAAAATCCAAGTCCAGGAAACCCCCATTGTCCTGAGGTGGATTTTTTTCACAACCCCAAAAATCCAAGTCCAAGAAACCCCCATTGTCCCGAGGATTTTTTTTGGGATCGCCACGCCATGATCAAAAATCACAACCCCTAAAAATCCAACTCCAGGAAACCCCCGCCATCCTGAGGTGGTGGAACCAGTGATTTTTCTCATATCTCCTCCATGCCATGGGGGAAAATCACAAACCCTAAAAGTCCAGGAACCCCCTGACACCCCAAGGTGGATTTTGTTTAGATCTCCTCCACTCCATGAGCAAAAAACCCAAGTCCAGGACACCCCTGCCATCCCAAAGTGGATTTTTTTTTATATCCTCCACGCCATGAGGGAAAATCACAAACCCTAAAAGTCCAGGAAACCCCTGCTGTCCCTAGGTGGATTTTTTTTGGATCTCCTCCATACCATGAGCAAAAAACCCAATTCCAGCAAACCCCTGCCATCCCAAGGTGGATTTTTCTCAGATCTCCTCCACTCCATGACCAAAAAAACCCAATTCCAGCAAACCCCTGCCATCCCAAGGTGGATTTTTTTGGATCTCCTCCATGCCATGAGGGAAAAACCCAAGTCCAGGAACCCCTGCCATCCCAAAGTGGATTTTTCTCAGATCTCCTCCACTCCATGACCAAAAAAACCCAATTCCAGGAAACCCCTGCTGTCCCAAGATGGATTTTTTTTGGATCTCCTCCATACCATGAGCAAAAAACCCAATTCCAGGAACCCCCTGCCATCCCAAGGTGGATTTTTCTCAGATCTCCTCCACTCCATGACCAAAAAAACCCAATTCCAGCAAACCCCTGCCATCCCAAGGTGGATTTTTTTGGATCTCCTCCATGCCATGAGGGAAAAACCCAAGTCCAGGAACCCCTGCCATCCCAAAGTGGATTTTTGGATCTCCTCCATGCCATGAGGGAAAAAGTCCAGGACACCCCTGCCATCCCAAAGTGGATTTTTCTCAGATCTCCTCCACTCCATGACCAAAAAAACCCAATTCCAGGAAACCCCTGCTGTCCCAAGATGGATTTTTTTTGGATCTCCTCCATACCATGAGCAAAAAACCCAATTCCAGGAAACCCCTGCCATCCCAAGGTGGATTTTTCTCAGATCTCCTCCACTCCATGACCAAAAAAACCCAATTCTGGGACACCCCTGCCATCCCAAGATGGATTTTTTTTTTTATCTCCCCCATACCATGAGCAAAAATCCCAAGTCCAGGAACCCCTGCCATCCCAAAGTGGATTTTTTTCACATCTCCATGCCATGAGGGAAAAAGTCCAGGACACCCCTGCCATCCCAAGGTGGATTTTGTTTAGATCTCCTCCATGCCATGAGGGAAAAAGTCCAGGACACCCCTGCCATCCCAAGATGGATTTTTCTCAGATCTCCTCCACTCCATGACCAAAAAAACCCAATTCCAGCAAACCCCTGCCATCCCAAGGTGGATTTTTCTCAGATCTTAATGGGGTCAGGGAGGGGGTGGGATCGTGGATTAATGGGGGTTCAGTCAGCTCAAGACACTCAGAGGGGTCAGGGATGGGGGTTTGGGGTGGGATTGTGGGGATTCAGTCAGCTTAGAGGGTATAATGGGGTCAGGGAGAGCGGTTTGGGGTGGGATTGTGGGGGTTCAGGACACTCAGAGGGGTCAGGGATGGGGTGGGATCGTGGATTTGTGGGGGGTTCGCCCACCTGAGAGGGCATTATGGGGTCAGGGATGGGGTGGGATCATGGATTTGTGGGGGTTCAACCACTTTAGGGGGCATAATGGAGTCAGGGATGGGGGTCTGGGGTGGGATTGTGGGGGTTCACCCACCTTAGAGGGCATAATGGGGTCAGGGAGGGGGTGGGATCGTGGATTAATGGGGGTTCAGTCAGCTCAAGACACTCAGAGGGGTCAGGGATGGGGGTTTGGGGTGGGATTGTGGGGGTTCACCCAGCTTAGGGGGCATAATGGGGTCAAAGATGGGGGTTTGGAGTGGGATTTTGGGGGTTAACACACCTGGGAGGACACGCGCGGCTCAGGGATGGGGTTTTGGGGTGGGATTGGGGGGGTCAGCCAGCTCAAAAAACAACAAATTTCCCTCAAAAAATTACCAATTCCTATTCACCCACCTTAGGGGGCATTATGGGGTCAGGGATGGGGGTTTGGAGTGGGATTTTGGGGGTTAACACACCTGGGAGGACACGCGCGGCTCAGGGATGGGGTTTTGGGGTGGGATTGGGGGGGTCAGCCAGCTCAAAAAACAACAAATTTCCCTCAAAAAATTACCAATTCCTCCCCAAAACCTACAAATTTCCCTCAAAAATTGATTAATTTCCCTAAGAAAATGACAAATTTCCCTCAGAAAATGACCAATTTCCCCCAAAAAACAACAAAAATCCTTCAAAAAAACCCCCAAAACCTACACATTTCCCTCAAAAATAAACAAATTTCCCTCAAAAATCGATTAATTTCCCTCAAAATCCGATGAATTTCCCTCAAAAATGACGAATTTCCATCAAAAAATTAAAAATTCCCCTCCAAAACCTACAAATTTCCCTCAAAAATCAATGCATTTCCCTCAAAAAATTAAAAGTTCCCCTCCAAAACCTACAAATTTCCCTCGAAAATCGATGAATTTCCCTCAAAAATTGATTAATTTCCCTGAAAAACCAACAAATTTCCCTCAAAAATCAATGCATTTCCCTCAAAAAATTAAAAATTGCCCTCCAAAACCTACAAATTTCCCTCAAAAATCGATAAATTTCCCTCAAAAATCGATGAATTTCCCTCAAAAATTGATGACTTTCCCTGAAAAGCCAACAAATTTCCCTCAAAAATCAATGCATTTCCCTCAAAAAAATAAAAATTCCCCTCCAAAACCTACAAATTTCCCTCGAAAATCGATAAATTTCCCTCAAAAAATTAAAAATTGCCCTCCAAAACCTACACATTCCCCTCAAAAAATGACGAATTTCCCTCAGAAAGAAAGGAATTTCCCTCGAAAAACAGCAGCTTTCCCTCAGAAACGCCGCACTCACTCCAGGATCTCGTTGTACTCGATGGTCTCCTCCAGGTTCTGCAGGTTGGGGTTGACGCTGCGGATCGCCCTCATGTAGGCCTTGAGCAGCTGGATGTCCCTCTTCTGCCAAGGCAGGGAAAAATGGGATTTAGAATAGAAAAAAACACTTTTTTTTTCCTTTTTTGATGGGGATTTTGGTGTCCAAGCACCAAAAAGTGACCCTTGTTTTTTCCCATATTTTGGCGCCCAACAACCCAAACCTGCCCCGTGCTTTTCACCCTTTTTTTAACATTACAAAGATAATAAATGCAAATATAAATTAAAACTTCAAATGAAGACTTTAGAACTTATTACAACAATAAATAATAATTACTACCAGGTTTAACTTATATCCCTTAAATAAATCAGATCTTTTACAACATTAAAAATTACTGCGGAGCCACACTCAACCCACCGCTCCCCTCAGCACATTTCTTCCTGTATTTTTGGGGATTTTTAAAGGATTTTTTTTGGATTTTGGGATTTCTGGAGTCCCCGGTGTGGCCCAGCTCATTCCCACAGAGCCACACTCACCCAACACCTTCCCCTCATTACATTTTTTCCTGGTTTTTGGGGATTTTTTGATTTCTGGAGCCCCCACTGTGGCCCGATCAACCCCTGCAGAGCCACACTCAACACCTCCCCACAGCCCTTTTTTTTAATATTTTTGGGGGGATTTTTTTATTATTTTGGGATTTCTGGAGCCCACAGCATGACCCAGCCCAATCCCACAGACTCACACTCAGCCCACACCTTCTCCCAGTCGTTTCTCCTCCTTTTTTTTTTGGGATTTTGGCTTCCAACACCCCAAATCTGCCTTTTCCCAGCCGAATCCTGGAGTTCAACCAACCCCTGCAGAGCCACACTCAGCCCACACCTTCCCCTCATTGCATTTCTCCTGGTTTTTGGGGGATTTCTTTGAGAATGTTTTATTATTTTGGGATTTGCAGAGCCCCCAGCATGGCCTAACCCAATCCCACAGACCCACACTCAGCTCACACCTTCCCCCAGCCACTTCTCCCCCATTTTTTTTGGGGATTTTGGCTCCCACCACCCCAAACCTGCCCTCCCCAGCCCCCTCCAGGTGCTGCTGCCCACCTGCTCGGCCAGCCCAATCAACTCACACCTCCTCACAACCTTTTTTTGGGGACCTTTTTTTGAGATTTTGGGATTTCTAGAGCACCCAGCATGGCCCAGCCCATTCCCACAGTGCCACACCTTCCCCCAGTCACTTTTTTGCCCTTTTTTTTTTGGGATTTCGGCCCCCACCACCCCAAACCTGCCCTCCAGGTGCTGCTGCCCACCTGCTCTGCCAGCTGGTGCTTGTGCTCGGCCGAGGTTTTCTCCAGCTCGGCGATCCTCGTCTGCTGCTGCTGCACCACCGAGCGCAGGTGCTTGATGCAGTTGTGGTTGGGCAGCTCGTCCTTGGGCATCTCCAACCTGCCAGGAGCCAGGAAAGAAGGTGGAGACCCCAAATTAGGGGGGTTTGCACCTTCCAGAGGTGTGGAAAGACGGGGAGGGGTCTGAGTGGCAGGCTGGGGGAGGATTTGGGGATTTTTTTTTCTTTGCTGCCTTCCTGAGCAGTTCTAAAGGCTGACAGGCCTTTCCAGGAGGGAATTCCTGCTGATGGCCACCCTGTCCCTGTCCTGGAGGTGTGCCATCCCAGGGCCCTTCCTGTGCCCATCTTGGTGCCATCCTGTGCCCATCCCAGTGCCCATTCCTGTGCTCTTCCCAGGGCCATTCCATGTCCGTCCCCCATCCTGTGTCCATCCCAGTGCCCATCCGGTTTGCACCTTCCAGAGGTGTGGAAAGACGGGGAGGGGTCTGAGTGGCAGGCTGGGGGAGGATTTGGGGATTTTTTTTTCTTTGCTGCCTTCCTGAGCAGTTCTAAAGGCTGACAGGCCTTTCCAGGAGGGAATTCCTGCTGATGGCCACCCTGTCCCTGTCCTGGAGGTGTGCCATCCCAGGGCCCTTCCTGTGCCCATCCTGGTGCCATCCTGTGCCCATCCCAGAGCCCATTTCTGTGCCCATCCTGGTGCAATCCTGTGTCCATCCCAAGGCCATTCCTGTGTCCATCCCAGTGCCCATCCTGTGCCTGTTCTATGTGTCCATCCCCATCCTATGCCCATCCCCACCCCATGTCCATCCCACTGCCCATCTTGTGTCCATCCCCACCCCATGTCCGTCCCAGTGCCCATTCCTGTGCCCATCCCAGAGCCATCCTCATTCTGTGTCCATCCCATGTCCACCCTGCGTCCATTCCAGGGTCACCCAGTGCCCATCCCATGTCCACCCCCGGGCCATCCCGTGTCCATCCCCATCCCGTGTCCACCCCAGTGCCCATCCCGTGTCCATCCCCATCCTATGACCATCCCCACCCCAGTGCCCATCCCGTGTCCATCCCTACCCCAGGACCATTCCGTGTCCACCCCAGTGCCCATCCTGATTCCATCCTATGTCCATCCTGTGTCCATCCCAGTGCCCATCCTGATGCCATCCTATGTCCACCCCAGTGCCCACCCCATGTCCATCCCACTGCCCTTCTCATGTCCATCCCAGTGCCCATCCCGTGTCCATCCCAGTGCCCATTCTGATGCCATCCTATGTCCATCCCAGTGCCCATCCTGTGCCTGTTCTATGTGTCCATCCCCATCCTATGACCATCCCCACCCCAGTGCCCATCCCATGTCCACCCCAGTGCCCATCCCGAGTCCACCCCATCCCAAGATGGGCTGGGGGAACCCACAGGATGGGGTGGGGGAACCCCAGGATGGGGTGGGGGAACCCCCAGGATGGGGTGGAGGAACCCCCAGGATGGAATGGGGAAACCCCCCCAGGATGGGGTGGAGGAACCCCCGGGATGGGGGAACCTCAGGGATGGGGTGGAGGAACCCCGGGATGGGGTGGGGAACCCCCAGGATGGGCTGGGGAAACCCCCCCAGGATGGGGTGGAGGAACCCCCAGGATGGGGTGGGGGAACCCCGCGATGGGGTGGAGGGACCCCCAGAGCCAAGATGGAACCAATCCCCAGAACAACCCCCAGTGCCACCTCCACTCCTTCCCCAGGATGGGGGATCCCTCACCTGTCCTGACCCCTCCCCTGTGACCTCTCACCTGTGCTGACCCCCACCTGAGCTGACCCCCACCTGAGCTGCTCAAACCCTTCCCAGGACCCCCCACACCCCATCCCAACACCCCCGAGCCCAGAACCACCACCAGATCCCACTGTGGTGCCCACCTGGGTCCTACCTGCACCCACCATGTCCCAGCTGGGTCATACCTGTACCCACCATGTCCCAGCTGGGTCCTACCTGCACGCCACCATGTCCCACCCTGGTGCCCAGGAGGGTCCCACCTGCACCCACCATGTCCCAGGTGGGACCCACCTGCACCCCACCATGTCCCACCCTGGTGCCCAGGAGGGTCCTACCTGCACCCACCATGTCCCAGCTGGGTCCCACCTGCACCCACCATGTCCCAGATGGGTCCTACCTGCACCCCCAGACCCCATCCCAGTGCCCAGGTGGCTCCCACCTGCACCCCCAGACCCCACCCAGGTGCCCAGGTGGGTCCTACCTGCACCCACCATGTCCCACCTTGGTGCCCAGCTGGGTCCCACCTGCACCCCCGGTGCCCAGGTGGGCCCTACCTGCACCCACCATGTCCCAGGTGGGTCCCACCTGCACCCCCAGTGCCCAGGTGGGTCCCACCTGCACCCCCCATGTCCCAGATGGGTCCTACCTGCACCCCCAGACCCCATCCCAGTGCCCAGCTGGGTCCCACCTGTATCTCCAGACCCCACCCAGGTGCCCAGGTGGGTCCTACCTGCACCCACCATGTCCCACCTTGGTGCCCAGCTGGGTCCCACCTGCACCCACCATGTCCCAGATGGGTCCTACCTGCACCCCCAGACCCCATCCCAGTGCCCAGGTGGCTCCCACCTGCACCCCCAGACCCCACCCAGGTGCCCAGGTGGGTCCTACCTGCACCCACCATGTCCCACCTCAGTGCCCAGGTGAGTCCATGTCCCAGGTGGGCCCTACCTGCACCCACCATGTCCCAGGTGGGTCCCACCTGCACCCACCGTGTCCCAGCTGGGTCCCACCTGCACCCCCGGTGCCCAGGTGGGCCCTACCTGCACCGGCTCCTCCAGGACCCCGCTGCAGATGGGGCAGATCAGGTCCTCGTCCACGTCCCCCTGGAAGCGTGCCACATCATACCCCATCGCTGTCACCGGCGCCAGAACCCTGCGGGGCGGGCACGGCTCAGGACCCCGAGGGAGCCACGGCTGGGCCAGGCCCGCCTGCAACGGGGTCTGTGGGGCAGGGACGGGGAGGAATGTGGGTCCCTTGGGGGTTTGGGGTCTTCCCAGAGACCCTGGGATTGGGGTTTGAAGTCCAAGGAAAGGGTTTTTGCATGGAAAGGGTTTTTGAGACAAACCCATTTATTCTGAAGCTTCCATGGGCCAGGAATAGGGAGGAACTTGGGTCTCCTGGGGGTTTGGGGTCTTCCCAGAGCCATTCCAGCCCCAGGAACTGGGATCTACCAGGGTTTGAAGTCTAAGGTCCTGCAGGAAAGGGATTTTGAGTTAAATCTCTCTCTTCCTGGGGTCCCTTGGGGCAGAATGGGGAGGAATTTGGGTCTCTTGGGGGTTTGGGGTCTTCCCAGAGCCACTCCAGCTCCTGGGACTGGGATCTAAGATCTAATAGGGTTTGAATGCCAAAGTCCTACAGGGAAAGGGTTTTTGAATCAAACTTGTTTCTTGTGGGGGTCCCTTGGATCAGGGGTGGGGAGGAATTTGGGTCCCTTGGGGGTTTTGGGTCTTCCCAGAGACCCTGGGATTGGGGTTTGAAGTCCAAGGAGAGGGTTTTTGCATGGAAAGGGTTTTTGAGTCAAACCCGTTCATTTTGAAGCTCCTCTGGGGCAGGGACGGGGAGGAATTTGGGTTCCTTGGGGGTTTTGGGTCTTCCCAGAGCTTGGGGTCCCTTGGGGCAGAATGGGGAGGAATTTGGGTTCCTTGGGGGTTTTGGGTCTTCCCAGAGCCATTCCAGCTCCTGGGATTGGGATCTGAAGTCCAAGGTCCTGCATGAAAAGGGTTTTTGAGTCAAATCTGTCCCTTCTTGTGGTCCCTTGGGTGAGGGATGGGGAGCAATTTGGGTCTCTTGAGGATTTTGGGTCTTCCCAGAGCCACTCCAGCCCCTGGGATTGGGATCTACCAGGGTTTGAAGTCCAAGGTCCTGCATGGAAAGGGTTGAGAAGAGTTTTTGAGTCAAACCTGTCTCTTCTGGAGCTCCCTGCTCTTGGGGGTTTGGGGTCTTCCCAGAGCCACTCCAGCTCCTGGGACTGGGATCTAAGATCTAATAGGGTTTGAATGCCAAAGTCCTACAGGGAAAGGGTTTTTGAATCAAACTTGTTTCTTGTGGGGGTCCCTTGGATCAGGGGTGGGGAGGAATTTGGGTCCCTTGGGGGTTTTGGGTCTTCCCAGAGCCACTCCAGCCCCTGGGATTGGGATCTACCAGGGTTTGAAGTCCAAGGTCCTGCATGGAAAGGGTTGAGAAGAGTTTTTGAGTCAAACCTGTCTCTTCTGGAGCTCCCTGGGGTCAGGGATGGGGAGGAATTTGGGTCCTTTGGAGCATTTTGGGTTTTCCCAAAGCCATGGCAACCCCTAACCCTGGGAACCCTTAACCCTAATCCTGGGAACCCCAAATCCTGATCCTGATCCTGGGAACCCCAAATCCTAATCCTGATCCTGGGAACCCTAGATCCTAATCCTGGGAACCCCTAACCCTAATCCTGGGAACCTCAAATCCTAATCCTGATCCTGGGAACCCCAAATCCTAATCCTGATCCTGGGAACCCTAGCCCTAACCCCAATCCCACATTTCCCAGTTGTGGGTTTGATTTGGGGTTTTTGGGGTGCTTTGTTTGGTTTGCAGAGCTGGCCACGCCGAGCTTTGGGAACGGAAGCGTTCCCAGCCCGGCATCAAATCCTGACCCTAGGAACCCCAAATCCTGACCCTGATCCTGGGAACCCCAAATCCTAATCCTGATCCTGGGAACCCTAGCCCTAACCCCAATCCCACATTTCCCAGTTGTGGGTTTGATTCGGGGTTTTTGGGGTGCTTTTTGGGGTGCTTTGTTTGGTTTGCAGAGCCGGGAACGGAACGGAAGCGTTCCCAGCCCGGCATTCCCGGGAAATTCCTTCCTCTGTCCCTTCCCCTCGGCATTCCCGGGAAATTCCCACCTCATTCCCGGGAAATTCCCACCTCATTCCCGGGAATTTCCCACCTCCAGGGCCGGCCTTGAGCTCTGCCCCGGCCGTTGCTGCTCCCGCGGCCCTCCCCGACATCAAAGGCGGTGACAAAGGGTGACAAACGGTGACAAAGGGTGACAGGGCGGTGACAAAGGGTGACAAAGGGTGACAGAGGGTGACAAAGGCCCGGTAAGGAGTCCCCGCCCCGGGAGGGGCAGGAGAGGGGGGAGGACACCGGGAGGTGACAGGGAGGTGACAAAGGGTGACAAAGGCCCGGTAAGGAGTCCCCGCCCCGGGAGGGGCAGGAGAGGGGGGAGGACACGGGGAACACGGAATTCCAGATGTGCAGGGCAGGAATTCCAGCTGTGCAGGGCAGGAATTCCAGCTGTGCCCACCCCAGGAATTCCAGCTGTGCCCACCCTGGGAATTCCAGCTGTGCCCACACCAGGAATTCCAGCTGTGCCCACCTCAGGAATTCCAGCTGTGCCCACACCAGGAATTCCAGCTGTGCCCACCCCGGGAATTCCAGCTGTGCCCACCTCAGGAATTCCAGCTGTGCCCACCCTGGGAATTCCAGCTGTGCCCACACCAGGAATTCCAGCTGTGCCCACCTCAGGAATTCCAGCTGTGCCCACACCAGGAATTCCAGCTGTGCCCACCCCGGGAATTCCAGCTGTGCCCACCTCAGGAATTCCAGCTGTGCCCACCCCGGGAATTCCAGAGAGAGTCATGAGTTTCATTATTATCTTTTTAGCCTTCTGTAAGTATCCCTTCTGTATTCTTTAGTATAGTTTAGTATTCTTTAATATAAGATAGTATCATAAAATAATAAATGAGCCTTCTGAACACACGGAGTCAGATTCGTCATTCCTGCCTTCATCGGGGCACCCCACAAATACAATATCTTTCCCCTTCCACTCACATTCTCTGCCCCACTTAAACCAGGCTGGGAATCCAGCAATGCCCGGCCTTGGAAATGGGAAGCCCAGAGGAAATGGGAAACTCCAGGATTTTCCAGACAGCCCTGTGTCATTGTGTTCATCGGTCCCAGGATGAGGGAAGAGATGAATCTGACCCCATATTTCTTAGAAGGCTGATTTATTGTATTGTGATAGTATATTATATTAAAAATACTATACTAAAGCTATACTAAAAAGAATAGAGAAAGGATTTCAGCAGAAGGCAGGAAAGGAAAAGGAAAAGGAAAAGGAAAAGGAAAAGGAAAAGGAAAAGGAAAAGGAAAAGGAAAAGGAAAAGGAAAAGGAAAAGGAAAAGGAAAAGGAAAAGGAAAAGGAAAAGGAAAAGGAAAAGGAAAAGGAAAAGGAAAAGGAAAAGGAAAAGGAAAAGGAAAAGGAAAAGGAAAAGGAAAAGGATTGAAGGAATTCCCATGGGGAAAAATGAAGGATTGGAGGAATTCCCAAAGAAGGAAAAAGGAAAGAATTGGAAAAAGAAAAGGGAAAATGAAAAAAAGAAGGATTGAAGGAATTCCCATGGGATAAAAGAAGAATTGAAGGGATTCCTATGGAAAAAAGGAAGGATTGAAGGAATTCCCAAAAAGGAAAAAGGAAAGGATTGGAAATGGAAAAGGGAAAAGGAAAAAAGGAGGGATTGGAGGAATTTCTAGGGAATAAAGAAGGATTGAAGGAATTCCCATGGAAAAAAAGGAAAGATTGGAAAAATTCCCACAAGAAAAGGAAGGACTGAAGGAATTCCTATAGAAAAAAGAAGGATTGAAGGGATTCCCATGGGTAAAATGAAGGATTGAAGGAATTCCCATGGAAAAAAAGGAAAGATTGGAAAAATTCCCACAAGAAAAGGAAGGACTGAAGGAATTCCTATAGAAAAAAGAAGGATTGAAGGGATTCCCATGGGTAAAATGAAGGATTGAAGGAATTCCCATGGGATAAAAGAAGAATTTAAAGAATTCCCATAGAAAAAAGGAAACAGTGGAAGAATTCCCATGGAAAAAAGGAAGGATTGAAGGGATTCCCATGGAAAAAAGGAAGGATTGGAAGAATTCCCAGAAAAAAGGAAACAGTGGAAGAATTCCTATGGGAAAAAGGAAACAGCGGAAGAATTCCCAGAAAAAAGGAGGGATTGCAGGAATTCCCATGGAAAAAGGAGGGATTGGAAGAATTCCCATGGGATAAAAGGAAGGATTGAAGGAATTCCCATGGAAAAAGGAAGGACTGCAGGAATTCCCATGGGATAAAAGGAAATATTGAAGGAATTCCCAGAAGAGGAAGGACTGCAGGAATTCCCATGGAAAAAGGAAGGATTGAAGGAATTCCCATGGGATAAAAGGAAGGATTGAAGGAATTCCCAGAAAAAAGGAAGGACTGCAGGAATTCCCATGGGATAAAAGGAAGGACTGCAGGAATTCCCATGGAAAAAGGAAATACTGGAAGAACCCCCCACGGGCCGTTACCTCCCGCGGCAGACGAGCTCCTGGCAGCGCGCGGGGCCTCGCTCTCTGCACGGAATTCCTCCCGGATCTCTCCCATTTTCCCTCTCCTCTCCCGGCCAGCAGGTCCTGCAGCGCCGATCTGACCCCAAAAAAGAGGAAAAAAACGGGAAAATCAGCAGGGGAGGGGGAGGTGCTGCCCCCCCCAGGACGGGATTCCATGGAAACGTCGATTCCCACCCGGAATTCCCAGCGGGGAGGAGGAACTCCCCCCCTGGTGTGGGAATTTGGGAATTTTGGGGATAATGGAGCCCCCAGGCAGCCTTGGGCAGGGAGCCGGGCTCGGAAATTCGGGAATTTCAGCCCAGAGGGATCAGGAATTTGGGAATTTCAGCTCAGAGGGATCAGGAATTTGGGAATTTCAGCTCAGAGGGATCAGAAATTTGGGAATTTCAGCTCAGAGGGATCAGAAATTTGGGAATTTCAGCCCCATTCCCACAGGGATTCACACTCAGAAATTTGGGAATTTCAGCCCAGTGGGATGAAAAATTTGGGAATTTCAGCCCTGTTCCCACTGGGATTCACACTCAGAAATTTGGGAATTTCAGCCCAGTGGGATGAAAAATTTGGGAATTTCAGCCCTGTTCCCACTGGGATTCACAATGAGAAATTTGGGAATTTCAGCTCAGAGGGATGAGAAATTTGGGAATTTCAGCCCAGTGGGATGAAAAATTTGGGAATTTCAGCCCTGTTCCCACTGGGATTCACAATGAGAAATTTGGGAATTTCAGCTCAGTGGGATTCAGGCTTGGAAATTTGGGAATTTCAGCCCAGAGGGATCAGGAATTTGGGAATTTCAGCCCCATTCCCTTGGGATTCACACTGAAAAATTTGGGAATTTCAGCCCAGAGGGATCAGAAATTTGGGAATTCCAGCCCCATTCCCTTGGGATTCACACTCTGAAATTTGGGAATCTCACCCCAGATTCTTAGTGGGATCAAAGCTCAGAAATTTGGGAATTCCAGCCCAGTGGGATCCAGGAATTTGGGAATTCCAGCCCCATTCCCAGCTCTGCAGCCCCTCCCGATCCTGCTAAAAATTCCTGGAAATTTTCCTGGATTTTCCCTCAAATTATTTCGGATTTTCCCCCAAATTCTTTTGGATCTTCCCCAAATTCCTCTGGATTTCCCCCCCAAATTTTTCAGGATTTTTCCCCCAAATTTCTCCAGATTTTTCCCAAATTCTCTTGGATTTCCCCCCAAATTTCTCTGGAATCTTCCCCAAAAACTCCTCTGGATTTTCCCCCAAATTCTTTTGGATTTTCCCAAAATTCTTCCGGATTTTTCCCAAATTCCCCCAAATTTCCCCCAAATTCTTCCAGCCCGACCCCTGAACTCCTGGGGATTGTTCCCCAAACTCCTCTGAGTTATCCCAAGATTTTTTCTGGGATTGTTCCCAAAATTCCTCCAAATTTCCCCAAAATTCCTTTAAATTATTCCCAAAATTCTTCAAAATTTTCCCAAAATTCCTCAAAATTCCCCAAATTTTCCCAAAATTCTTCAAAAATTTCCCCAAAATTCCTTTAAATTATTCCCAAAATTCCTCCCCAAACTCCTCTGAGTTATCCCAAGATTTTTTCTGGGATTGTTCCCAAAATTCCTCCAAATTTCCCCAAAATTCCTTTAAATTATTCCCAAAATTCTTCTAAATTTCCCCAAAATTCCTCTAAATTATTCCCAAAATTCCTCCAAAATTCCTTTAAATTATTCCCAAAATTCTTCCGAATTTCCCCAAAATTCCTTGAAATTATTCCCAAAATTCCTCAAAATTCCTTTAAATTATTCCCAAAATTCTTCAAAATTTCCCCAAAATTCCTTTAAATTACTCCCAAAAATTTCCCAAATTTTCCCCACATTCCCCCAGAATTTCCCCAAATTTCCCCAAAATTCCTTTAAATTATTCCCAAAATTCTTCAAAATTTTCCCAAAATTCCTCAAAATTCCCCCAAAATTTCCCCAAATTTTCCCCAAATTCTTCAAAATTTCCCCAAAATTCCTTTAAATTATTCCCAAAATTCTTCAAAATTTTCCCAAAATTCCTCAAAATTCCCCCAAAATTTCCCCAAATTTTCCCCAAATTCTTCAAAATTTCCCCAAAATTCCTTTAAATTATTCCCAAAATTCAGTCCCCAAAATTCCCCCAAACATCTCCAAAATTTCCCCTAAAATTTCCCCAAATCCACAATCTCCCCAAAATTCCCCCAAATTTCCACAAATTTCCCCCAAAATTCAAAAAAAGCCTCCAAGATTTCCCCAAAAATGCCCCAAAATTCCCTAAATTTCCCCTAAATTCCCCCAAAAATAAAAAAAATCCCCAACAATTCCCCAAATCTCTCAAAATTTCCCTTAAATTCCCCCAAAATCCACAATCTCCCCCAAATTCCCCAAAATCCTCAAAAAATTCCCCATAATTTCCCCAAATTTCCCCAAAATTTAAAAAATCCTCAAAATTCCCCCAGATTCTCAAAAACTCCCAAAATTCTCCCAAAATTTCCCCAAATTTCCCCAAAATTTTCCAAAATTTCCCCAAAATTCCTTTAAATTATTCCCAAAATTCCTCCAAATTCCCCCAAAATTTCTCCGAATTTCCCCCGAATTATTCCCACCATTTCCCGGGATGTTTCCCCCAAATTCCCGGGATTTCCCCAAATCCTCGCCGTTCCCCAAATTCCCGGGATTTCCCCAATTCCCTCCCCGCTCTCCCGTTCCCACCGGAGCCGTTCCCGGTTCCCCTCCCCGGTGGCTCCGCTCCGTTCCCCGCCGCCGCCACCATCCCGCGGCTCCTCCTCCAACCCTTCCCCCCCCGTTCTCTCCGTGCATCCTCCCCCTCCTCCCCCCGCCGCCTCTCCGGTTCTCCCGGTGTTACCGGGGCCGCCCCGGGAGCCCCGAGCAGCGCCCCTCGGGGCTCAGCGGCGGCCGCGGCCTCCTCCCGGTGCCGCCGCCCGGCCCCGCCGCGCCGGAAGTGCCGCACCGGAAGTGCCGCTCCGGCCGCGCGGGCCGGAACTCGGTGGTAGAGGAGGCGCTGAGTGGGCGTGGCTTATCCTCATAATCCCGCCCTTTCTGCATCGCTATTGGTTGGCGGTGCCGCTCGTCACGCTCCTCCCCGCGCTCTGATTGGCTGCGCTCGCGGACTTCCGGGAGCGGCCGCGGCGGCGGCGGCGCCGTGCCCGGTGAGCGGCGGGAGGGGCGAGCGCCCCCTGGCGGCGGGACGGGCGGGAGGGCGGCCCCGCTCCCGGCCCCGGCCCCGGTTCTGCTCCCGGTTCTGCTCCTTGTCCCGGTCCTGCTCCCGGCCCCGGTGGCCCCGGAGCGCCGTCCGTGCGTAGCCCCGTTCCCGCGTTCCGTTCCCGGTGTCCCGGCGGTCCCGGTGCCCCGCGGGGATGCTCGCGCTGTTCCGTCCCCCGCGCGGTGCTGCCCTGGCCTTGCCGTGCCCGGTGTCTCGTTCCTCCGGTGGCGTTCCCGGTGCTCCCGGTGCTCCCGTCCCGCGGTCCCCGTGCCGGCAGCGATGTCCCCGTGGGCCACCCCCGGTGCCACCCCCGGGTCCCCTCCCGGTGTCCCGGTGTCCCATCCCGGTCGGTCCCGGGGCTGCCACCGCCGGTGTCCCCCCGGTCCCCGGAGCCCATCCTGTGCCCGCTGTCCCCTCGGTCTCCGCTGTCCCCAAGGTGCCGCTCCGTGTCCCTGGGGGTGCCACTGGGCGTCCCCTGGGTGCCCATCACTGTCCCCAGGGATGCCACACCCTGTCCCCTTAGTGCCCCTGGGTGTCCCCTTGGTATCACTGGGTGTCCCCAAGGCACCATTCCCCATCACTGTCCCCTTGGTGCCACACCCTGTCCCCAAGGTGCCCCTGGGTGTCCCCTTGGTATCACTGGGTGTCCCCAAGGCACCATTCCCTGTCCCCAAGGCGCCATTCCCTGTCCCCAAGGTGCCACCACTGTCCCCTTGGTGCCATTCTGTGTCCCCTTAGTGCCCCTGGGTGTCCCCAAGGTGCCATTCCCTGCCCCCAGAGGTTTCATTCCCTGTCCCCAAGGTGCCCCTGGGTGTCCCCAAGGTGCCACCACTGTCCCCAAGGTGCCCCTGGGTGTCCCCAAAGTGCCATTCCCTGTCCCCAAGGTGCCCCTGGGTGTCCCCAAAGTGCCATTCCCTGTCCCCAAGGTTTCATTCCCTGTCCCCAAGGTGCCACCATGAGCTCCGAGACCCTTGTCAAGGACGTCAAGCCCGGCCTCAAGAACCTCAACCTCATCTTCATCGTGCTGGAGACGGGTGAGTGCCACCCCGGGCTGTCCCCGAGCCCCGTGGGGCCCCTGGGGTCCCCTCTGACCCCCCCTGTCCCCTCCTGTCCCCTCCAGGCCGGGTGACCAAGACCAAGGACGGCCACGAGGTCAGGACGTGCAAGGTGGCCGACAAGACCGGCAGCATCAACATCTCCGTGTGGGACGACGTGGGCAACCTCATCCAGCCCGGGGACATCATCCGCCTCACCAAGGGGTACGGGGACCTTGGGGACCCTGGGGACACTTGGGGACAGCCGGGGACAGCCGGGGGCGCGGCCCTGAGCTCCTCACCCTCCTCATCCTCAGCTACGCCTCCGTCTTCAAGGGCTGCCTGACGCTCTACACCGGCCGAGGGGGGGACCTGCAGAAGATTGGAGAGTGAGGAGGGGTTTTTTGGGGGGTTTTGGGGTTTTTTGGGGTTTTTGGGGCTGGGGGCAGCCCGGCCACGGGCGCTGTGCCCGCAGGTTCTGCATGGTTTACTCCGAGGTGCCCAACTTCAGCGAGCCCAACCCCGAGTACGCGGCGCAGCAGGGCCAGGGCAAGGGGGTGAGTGCGGGCCCGGGCACGGGGACACCCCCGTTTTTCACAAATTTACCCCAAATCCCCCAAATTTACCTCAAATTTACCTCAAATTTCCACAAATTTACCCCAAATCCCCACGAATTTACCTCAAATTTACCTCAAACTTCCACAAATTTACCCCAAATCCCCACGAATTTACCTCAAATTTACCTCAAATTTCCACAAATTTACCCCAAATCCCCACGAATTTACCTCAAATTTACCTCAAACTTCCACAAATTTACCCCAAATCCCCACGAATTTACCTCAAATTTACCTCAAATTTCCACAAATTTACCCCAAATCCCCACGAATTTACCTCAAATTTACCTCAAACTTCCACAAATTTACCCCAAATCCCCACGAATTTACCTCAAATTTACCTCAAATTTCCACAAATTTACCCCAAATCCCCACGAATTTACCTCAAATTTACCTCAAACTTCCACAAATTTACCCCAAATCCCCACGAATTTACCTCAAATTTACCTCAAATTTCCACAAATTTACCCCAAATCCCCACGAATTTACCTCAAATTTACCTCAAACTTCCACAAATTTACCCCAAATCCCCACGAATTTACCTCAAATTTACCTCAAATTTCCACAAATTTACCCCAAATCCCCACGAATTTACCTCAAATTTACCTCAAACTTCCACAAATTTACCCCAAATCCCCACGAATTTACCTCAAATTTACCTCAAATTTCCACAAATTTACCCCAAATCCCCACGAATTTACCTCAAATTTACCTCAAACTTCCACAAATTTACCCCAAATCCCCACGAATTTACCTCAAATTTACCTCAAATTTCCACAAATTTACCCCAAATCCCCACGAATTTACCTCAAATTTACCTCAAACTTCCACAAATTTACCCCAAATCCCCACGAATTTACCTCAAATTTACCTCAAATTTCCACAAATTTACCCCAAATCCCCACGAATTTACCTCAAATTTACCTCAAACTTCCACAAATTTACCCCAAATCCCCACGAATTTACCTCAAATTTACCTCAAATTTCCACAAATTTACCCCAAATCCCCACGAATTTACCTCAAATTTACCTCAAACTTCCACAAATTTACCCCAAATCCCCACGAATTTACCTCAAATTTACCTCAAATTTCCACAAATTTACCCCAAATCCCCACGAATTTACCTCAAATTTACCTCAAACTTCCACAAATTTACCCCAAATCCCCACGAATTTACCTCAAATTTACCTCAAATTTCCACAAATTTACCCCAAATCCCCACGAATTTACCTCAAATTTACCTCAAACTTCCACAAATTTACCCCAAATCCCCACGAATTTACCTCAAATTTACCTCAAATTTCCACAAATTTACCCCAAATCCCCACGAATTTACCTCAAATTTACCTCAAACTTCCACAAATTTACCCCAAATCCCCACGAATTTACCTCAAATTTACCTCAAATCCCCACAAATTTACCCCAAATCCCCACGAATTTACCCCAAATCCCCACAAATTTACCCCAAATCCCCACAAATTTACCCCAAATCCCCACAAATTTACCCCAAATCCCCATGAATTTACCTCAAATCCCCATGAATTTACACCAAATCCCCACAAATTTACCCCAAATCCCCACAAATTTATCCCAAATCCCCACACATTTACCCCAAATCCTGATGAATTTACCCCAAATCCCCATGAATTTACCTCAAATTCCCACCAATTTACCCCAAATCCACATTAATTCACCCCAAATCCCCACGAATTTATCCCAAATCTCCATGAATTTACCCCAAATTCCCACGAATTTACCCCAAATCCCCTCAATTTACCCCAATATCCCCCCAAATCTCCCTGAAATTTCCTCCAATTTCCTTCTAATCCCCCCAAAATCCCCTCAAATCCCCTCAATTTCCCTCAAAATCCCCCCAAATCCCCCTGAAATCCCCCCAAA